GGAGGCTTTACCTTATTAGGGAGCCCTGACACTCATATATCCCTACCTTTTTAAAAATATGACTAAACTCTTATGAATAGTGTTGTGACGATTATGCCCTTTAAATGTTTATTTACATATTTACCTTTAAGTATGACTAAACTCTTATGAATAGTGTTGAGACAATTATGTCGCCTTTTAAAATGTTTATCTACATATTTACCTTTCAATATTTTTATAAATAGTTTTAAGACAATTATGCCTCCTTATAATGTTTATTTACTCATTTTCCCTTATTAATGTTAATTGCCACTTTTTAAAACTCAATTAAACAGTGTGGAAACATTTTTTTACCCTAAAAATATTGTTTACGTATTTTTCCCGCTATCAACAACTAAAGTCGTGACATAATACCAATCCAAAACTGCTTCTCAAATATAGCTAACTATGGCAGCGCATATTAACTACCATAGTTATATATAAAACCGTATGTCACACAATTATAATTTTAACCTTAGAGTTACACTATTAAAGGCAATAATGTAGTTAAAATTGCGCATGCAATCCAGATTTTACGATCCAGTTTACATCAAATGACTTGGATCGTGCTTAAAATTGAATCCACAAAAAATAGGGCAAGATAAAAAAGATCGTATATATAGGAGATTTATTAAAGAAGTGACAAGAAATGGAGATGATAACCATGATGGTTAGCTCGATGAATTTCAATGTATGTTTCATATCTTTTCATTTCCATTTAGTACTTTTTGAAATCTTATTTTAAAAATCGCAAGATCTCAGCTTCATTCTCTTTAAAGTCATCCCCTCCTTTTTTCTCACAAGCCATTAACATCAAATTAAAATCACCTGTAGGACACGATTTTATTATGTGGCCTGAGTTATCATTTATCTGATTAATTGATCATTGATATTAAAAATACCCTGAGTACTTATCTGATAATTATTCGATGGACGTAATTATCCTTATGACTTAATTAGGGTTACCCCTTGAGTGTATATACATAGAGGACATTAAGCAGAGGAATACACACTAACCTCACGCCTCTGCTCTCCCTCGTCTCAGCCATCATTACGGTACACTCTAAACAGGAACTTGATCATCAGTACCATGGCCTCATCTCTCAGTACGTTCACAGGATTATCAGGTACACATGATTTAATTCCTAGTATATATTTATGTTAAAGGATTGATCAACATCACCACCACAAAGTCATGGTGTGATTTTTAAAGACTTTTTAAGGTGATTTTTGTAAAGTATTAAACAATCACTAATTCTTATATGTAGTTAGTCATATGATGTGACCACTTTACATATATACGTAGTATAAGCTAAGCAATTAATTAAGTAATGGGGGTTACGGCGCGGTGATGATCAAATGAAGTTACCATGCATGACGGATAAGGGGTTACCGCAATGGGAAAATGTGGTTACCCTTATAAACAAATTTAATAGAGTTATTCGTTTAATAGTCAAAGTAAATAGAAGGGGTTATTTCAATGAACAAATGGAGTAACTTATTTTCAAGGAAAAATTGACAGGAATAATCCCAACTTTGTTCGATTCGCCCAAAATAATCCCAACTTTCGATTATCTTTTAATAATCGGAACTTTGATATGACTTTGCTTCTAATGGTCCCAACCGGTCATCAAACTTGTTATAACAAATCACATGACACGTGTCAGGACGTGATTTGTCAGAAAAAAAATAAAATAAAAATAAAATAAAGATATTTAAAAATTAAAAGAATTTTAATTAACCAAAAAGTAAAAACCCACAACCCCATCTCTAGTAGCCTAGCCACCTCTTCGGCATCGAACCTCCGCGTAGCCCAGGGTCCCCCGCCCTCACCTCCGGTCGCATCCGGATCCACCTCCACCGCGCCGGAAATGGCGCCGCCCTTCTCCTATCGTCCTCCCACCCCAAGACCACCATGGCCACTCCCAAAATCCTTAAAAAAAACATCTCCCTCACCCGCATAAACCCCGATGTCCACCTCCCTCACCCTCGGAACCCTAGAGAATAGTGGTTGCGAGGGTTGAAGAAGGGGCGATTGGCGGTTTAAGAGGTGGAGGAGGTTTTTCTAAAGTTTTTTGGGGGATGGAGGGAGTTTTGGGGTGGGCGAATGGAGGTTTAGGGTGAAAGACAACGGCATGGGCGGCGCAGGGGAGGGGGTCTGGGGAGCAGCGGGGGTGATGGGTGGCCTAGGATTGGGCGGAGGTTGGCGGCCGGGGAGGTGGGCAGGTGGCTGGGGCTGATAAGGGAGGGGAAGGTTTTTTTTTTTTATAATAATTATTTTTAAAATAATTAGTTTTTTTTAATAGTAAGTTAAAAACATTTAGTTAATTGTTAATATGTAGTGAAGTGTTAATTTTCCTACCTGTTAAAAAAAAGTGTTAATTTCCTAAAAAAAAAGTTAAGTGTCAATTTATAACTAATACTTTTTTCTTAAAAAAGAAAATTAAAATCAAACATATTTTTGACTAATCACGTGATGACACGTGTACGTAATTTTTTTTTAAATTTTTTTTTTACCTATTCAATAGGTTACTGGTCACTTGGGACCGTTGGAAGCAAATTCATATTAAAATTCGGATTATTAAAAAATAGTTGAAAGTTGGGATTATTTTGGCGAATCGAGCAAAGTTGGGACTATTCCTGTCAAATTTTCCTATTTTTAAATTAATTTATGTTACTCGTATAATATATTGGGGGTTATTCTTATGGGTAAATATGTTATCTACATGAATAATTGAGATTACTAATTTATTCACAAATAATGATTATTCTTATAAACAAATGTGACCACACTATGTGGCTAGCCATACATAATACTCATTTTTAAATAATTATCATGTATTACAAGAATGGAAATAAATTAAAGGAAAAATTAGAAATAATAATCCCAACTTTCATGAATTTTAGTAGAATAATCCCAATTTTGGAATAATCCGAACTTTGGGGGTTCTTCTTTTTCTTCAATCCCAAACACCGGTTACCGGTTGAATGGGTTAATTTTTTTTGGTTAAAGTGATACGTGTCACAAATTAATTAGTTAATATATATATATATATATATATATATATATATATATATATATATATATATATATATATATATATATATATATATATATATATATATATATATATATATATAACCCAACAAATCACCCAGCCCTCCACCCCTGCTCACCGGAACCCCCAATCCCACCCACTACCCTCTCCCTCTTTCACCGGAAAATGGAGGGTTTAGATGGTAGCAGCCCAACCGCAGCACCACCACCGCTGCACACAACGCCACTTTCCCCCTCAAACAAGTCGTCCAAATCCAACCCGGCCATACCCAACCACCTTCGTCCAAGCCGCAACTTCCTCCTTCAAACAAGTCATCCAAATGCTAACAAACTCTATTTCAATCGAAAAATACACATCAACCAAAATCGCAACCCACAATTTCGCAACGATTTTCAAGCAATTACATTACATAAATGTCTTCAATTCGTGAATTAGCGGCGCGTAGGGAGGGGAATTAGCAGCGCGAGGGGAGGGGAATTAGTGGCACAGGGCGGTGATTTTTGGGGTTTGGCATGTGGCCGGAATTGGGAGGGTTTTTATTGGGAATTGGGAGGGTTTTTATTGGTGGTTGCGTGGGGGTTTGGGGGAGGGGGGATGGTGGTTTAATTTAGATGGTAGCGGACGGAGCGGCAACTCTAGTGGAGGGGGAGGTCCGACGGTCCGACGAAGGAGGTGGTTGGGCTGGGCGGCCTGCCGGAACTCTTAGGGTGGTTGGGGTTTTGGCTGGGTGTTTTTTTTTTAATTTTTTTTTGTTTTTTGTTTTTTGTTTTTTTTGTTTTTATATTTTTATTTATTTTTTAATTTTTAGACCAATCAGGACTTGACACGTGTCAAGTGACCTGATATAATAGGTCATTGACTTTTGTTGACCGGTCAGGACTTGAAGAAAAAGAGGAACCCTCAAAGTTCGTAGTATTCCAGAATAATCCAAAGTTGGGATTATTATAGCAAAATTCATGAAAGTTAGGGTTATTATTTCTAATTTTTCCTAAATTAAATTAAATTGATATTTTTAAAAAAAAAATAGTGATACAACTGACATGATTGAGTAGCAATCCATTTAGGTCATTAGGTGGTACCAAATTTAACTTCTAATAAAATGTAGGAAAATTTGTAAATTACCACCCCAAAAAAGTATCAATTTCTAAATAACCACCCATTTAAAATTTTATTTTAAATTACCACCCACTAAAATTATTTTTTATGCAGATTATCACCTTTTTTCAAAATCCGGTGGAATTCAGATGAGTGGGGCCCTCCTAACGGCTACTAACGACTAGTTTCTCCTTCCCAAATGAATTTCCCCCCGATTTTCCCCTATATAACATTTCTCCTACCCTAATTTGCGATTTGTACTTCAAAAATTCCCCAAATTCCTCAAATTTCACTCCCTTGTAATTGCTGTAGCATTTTGAAAAAACCTCAGAGGTGAATTCGCATCAGGTAACCTATGACATTCTTTAAATTTAGGGTTCTTATTGTGCTTAAATTGGGGAAAACTTGCTGATTAGTTGATTAGGGTTTACTTTCTTCGCAAATTAGGATTCTTTTCCTATTTAATTGGGGGAAACTGAGTGTTTAGTTATTTAGGGTTCATGTTCTTTGCCCAATTTAGGTTTTTTGTCATTGAATTGCTGTTAGTACTGGGTAAGTTGTGTTTGCAATTTGTGCACTTAATTAAGTACTGTTAGTATTGGTTGAAGCATGTTTTAAGCTTTTATGTTTATTTATTGTTGGAATTATTGTGGCAGAAATGGAAGAGAATAAGGTGATTCTCATATTTAAGTATTTGAGTAGCTTACAATAGTGAAATTGACAAAAAATAAAAAAATTTAGGAGGGAAATAACGACTGTGGGCCCCACACACCTGAAATCAACCGGAAATTTTAAAAAGGTGCGTAATTAATTATTTTAGTGGGTAGTAATTTAAAATAAAATTTTTAATAGGTGGTTATTTAGAAAATGGAACTATTTTTGGGTGGTAATTTGCAAATTTTCCTAAAATGTAAGATTGCAATAATTTTTATAGTCCGTCCCACTTTTTGTGATGAGAGTTTTGTCTATTGTTTAGGAATTGAGATATTTATCGAAATTCATTAATTAGGTGGATGAGATTTTTTAATTTTTTATGTGTCACTAAATAGATTTGAAAAAAATGCATGCATACAAAAATTTCCAAATGTGGATGATATCATACTACCCTCATATTAGATATTATTGCGATTGGACGGACACGTAAAAAGTCCAATAGTTGAACTTGAAATTTTGCGTGCAACTTTTGAGCTTATTTGTCATAAGGTTGCACAAACCATTTATCTATAAATTACCCAAGCCATGCACCATATTTCATCATCCCATTAAAATTTCATAAATAAAAAACCTTAAAGAAAATAGAATCCTCCCCAATCATGGGGGTAACAAGACCAACAACTACGTTTTTCATCTACATGTTTTGCATGGTGACCTCATTACCATCGATTTATACTTCAAAATTATCTCCTCATTTAAGCTCCAATCCTCAGTCACCACTTATGGTGCCTTCTACAATTATGCCACCAACCATTGATCCAATTCTCCCGAGTATCACACCTCATCCACCAACCATTTTAAGAGCTCTAGGCCGCACACCCAAAAAAGATGGTGCTCTAGGAGTTGATGGCACACCAGCACCAGAATTTGGTACACCGAGAACTCCTGACACACCACGACATTATATTACACCACAACAAATTAATACTACACCACGACGAACTCATATCACACCACAACCTCCTGTCATACCAAGAACTCGTGGCATTTTTAGCACAACAAGAAAAGATGGTGCTTTAGGAGTTGATGGCTTATTGGGAAAAGATGGTGCACCAAGACAACGTGGCACACGAGGAACTCATGGAACTTTTGAAAAACATGGTACATTGGAAATTTCTGGTGGCACATTTATAACTCCTAGTATTCCAAGACCTCGTGAAATACCTAAACATTCGATCACTCTTATTAAAACACAAACTATAATTATTGCAGGAGAACCTGGCACACTAGGAACTCCTGGTATTCCTGGCACTCCGGGAGTTCCTGGCACACCCGGACGCGGTCCTGGTGGCACACCAGGAACTCCTGGAACACCAGCAACTCCTGAAACCCCCGGAACACCAGGAACTCCTGGCACTCCAGAAACTCCTGGTACACCAGGTACACCAGGAACTCCTGGTACACCGGGTACTCCTGGCACACCTGGAACCCCTGGTAGAGACTAAGGTAGACTTCAAAGCCAGAGGAATTAAAAAGGTTATGCTTCTCCTAAAATAAGTGATAAGTGAAGAGGGTGATATGTCTCCTCCTAAAATGGTGTAAATGATTTAATTACCAAATAGGGGTGATGGCAGTGATGGCAATGTCCCGTTAGTAGCTTTATCATTTTTTAGTCCACAGATTAGGGCTATCCTTTGATGTCCTTAGAGGTTTAGTGCGGAAGTTCACTCTGCTACACTCATTATCTTTGTAATTTGTGTATTTTCTATTGTTTAATTTTTTTTTTTTTTGAAGGAATTCTATTGTTTAATTAAGTTTATTGTACGTTGTTGTTGTTACTTAGATTATAATTGCTAGTAGCAGCTTAATTAAGTTAGTTGATTTTTTATTTTTTTTCGTAAAATAAAGAGCATGCCAAAATTAAAAAATTAGCCACCCTTCATTTTGATCCTCACATGTGAAACTATCTTGTCTCTTTATTATTGTTTCCAACTTATCATTTAAGCAATGTTGGATTAATGAGAGATGAACACAAATCCCAATCTATTTCCTTCTCAACAATGTCATTGCACGTCATACTCACTGAAAAGACATTCAAGTTTATTACATGTTCGATCATGCATGTATCAATCAAGCAAGAAAAAAAAGGAAAAATTATTTAATTTATCTTTAATTAATATCAATCAAGCAAGAAAAAGATATTTTAGTCAATTGGAAGATAGAGAATGAAAAAAAAAAAAAAAAAGGTGTCAATTAATTTGAAACAGAAAAATTATATAGATTTTCTAATGAGAGATCTTCAAACCTAAATCCCTCGAACCATAACAAGATGGTTTGAATATTCCAAACTTCTTTAATCAAATTCTTAGGAAAAAGGAAAACCAAAAACTACTCCGTATTTATTAATTACCCCTTGATAATATATGTCAATACATTCCTCTCTATTTTGGTGGAATAACTAGTTGGTTGAACAACTTAAAACAAGTGATTAATGAATGAGATATGACTATTAATCTTTCTCAAATTAATATTCAACTAGAAATAGCTTTCTTGGCTTAACTGATTGTCTTTGCTACTAAACAATAACTTTTGAAAACCAATTTTTTAGTTTTTTTTTACCAATTTTCTCGAATTATAATTAGATTTTGTAAATTAAATTAATTAGGAAAATTATAAAAACAATTCAAAATTAATAAATGAATTTTAAATATTAGATAAATGATTATTATTAATTTTAATCAAAAAACAAATCAAAATTAACCAATAAAAAATTAGTATAATGGTAGTCATCTTAAGGATGATAAACATAATGTGTTTATAAAGTGGTATCAATCGTGCTAAAAGTGTAATGACTATTAATCATTCTCGAGTTAATGTTCAACTAGAAATATCTTTCTTGGCTTAAGTGATTGTCTTTGCTACAAAACAATAACTTTTGAAAACCATTTTTTCTTACTAACCATTTTTTTTTTCCCCAATTTTATCGAATTAATTTTAGATTTTGTAAATTAATTAGGAAAATTATAAAAAAAAATCAAAAATTATTTCAAAATTAATTAATGTATTTTAAAATTTAGATAAATGATTTATTATTAATTTTGATTTAAAAAATAAATCAAATTCAGTCAATAAAAAATTAGTGTAATGATAGTCATTTTAAGGATGATAAACCTAATGTGTTTATTAATTAAGTGGTATCAAGTGCTAAAAGTGTAAAAAAAAATCAACAACTTTAATTTTTATTAAAAATGGGTCCTATAATGATTTATATAACTACAAAAATATCATACTAAGGGTGTGTTCTATTTACCTGATTTTTACTTATCTGAACTTATCAGAACTTATTTGACCTTATAAAAACTTATTTTAATTGTAATTTGTACTTAGGTAACCCTTATTAGAACTTATTTTTCCTGAACTTATCTAAACTTAACTTAATTTATCTTCCTAAAAAAAAAGAAAAAAAAAAAAACTTAACTTATCCGAACTTATTACACCTGAAAGGTGAAAAATAAGGTGAACAAGACAGACCCTAACTAGACATTTTTGTTGATTTTACCACTTAATATTAAATTAAAAATCTTGCTAACAAGCGCCTGGGACGTTAGATAACTACTTAATATATTACTTAAAATAGTATTAAGTTCGGAATATATGAAAAATCACGCGTCGATCGGTGTAATTAATGTTAATTTTACTTTAATATTTCCACATTTAGTTCTCTTATCTAACGCCCTAAAAACGCTCATTAGCTTTTACCTTAAATTAAAGATATTTAAATAAGTTGTTTGTGTGAATTAAATGAGTACTTAGCTTTGGTCGAGTCTGGAAGTTTAGAACTCTTGAGAACAAGGAAGAAAATAATTTTTTTTTCTAAAATAAGTGATGCATGCAGCCGACATCCTGTATAAATGCCTAGATTGAGTAGCATTACACTGAAGAAGACAAATCCATACTCCATAGGTGTATCTACTGCCAGCCGACATGACAATTGACGGCGTCTGTTTCAAATTATTTGTAAAGATTTAATAAAAAATATGAATAAAAAATATCTAATTGTTACAAATAATTATTACAACTTTACAAGTACTATTTAAATTCAAAATGTAATTAAGGGATCATAGGAGGATAGATATATACTACAAAGTACTACACTAAACAATACAAGAATACGAGTAATACTTTCTCAGATCTGCTATTTTTCCTTACAACATTTTGATTTTTAAAGTACTCGTATTAATTATATACTCCCTCTTTATTCATTTAAGTGATCCAATTAGTCCAGACACGTAGTATGTCAATGCAAAATTTTGACCAATATTATATCTTTGCTTATTAATAAGTATAAAATTATAAAATTTTGAATCGAAAACTATACATCAGTGCGTTTTTTGTGTGGATGGTCACACCGTATGCCCAACTGACACACACCAAAATACTGACCGGATAACCCTTGACCGACCGAGTAATCCCTGAATGACTGAGTAACGCCTAACCGACCGAGTAACTCCTGACCGATTGAGTAACCCCTGACCGATCGAGTAACCCCTGATCGAAAGAATATTCCCTGACCAAGTAACATTGGCCACACGGTGTGGCTAGTCACATATGAAACTTTGTGACTATATATTGAGACAACTCCAACAGGTACTAACATGACTATATTTTTTCTTAGTTATTAATTACTAACTTTGATCAAAGTGGATTAGACCTGATTAAGTATGGCCCGACCCGAATTTGGGTGGGTTTTGGGCATAATTTTTTGGCCCGGAATCGGGTTGGGCTCGGCCCGATTTTTTTTTTGGGCGGGTTTGGGAATGCGTTTTTATTAGCTGATTTTTAGGCCCGACCCGAAATGGCCCGAAAAGCCCACACGGCCCGACCATTTTGGGCGGGATTGGGCACAAAAAATCCGGCCCGAAACTTGGCCAGGCCCGAGAAGTGGGCATAATTTTTAGTTTCGGACCCGTCTGACGTTTAATCATGTCTAAAGTGGATTATGTGAATAGTGCAAAAAGTCAAATATGGGCACTAAAATAAAAAACGGAGGGAGTACTATTGTTTGACTAATTTTGATGATTTATAGTTAAGGAAAAATAATGTCATATGCAATTTAAGATATCTATACCAATATATTAAAAGACGTTTCTAAAAACGTCAATGTGCCACGTCACCTTTTCAACATTTCATGACGCCACATCATCACTTAATCTTAACCATTACGCTACATCACCCAAGAAACCAATATTATTTCATATAAAAAAATAAGAATAAGGAGATTCAAACACTTAACCTTTTATAACAAAGATGACTATTTAACCATCTAAGCCAATTACCAACTATGTTATTAATATGTAAAAAATTTAATATAAATGCAAATCACAAGGTCCAAACTTTTTTTTTTTAGTCCAAAATAGTCAAAGATTAACTTAATTTTGATTTGACAACGACAATTTCAATTTTAAAAAGCCTTTAATAAAATTTATAGATTCCACGTCTATAATAGTAGCAACCTAGGGCAACGCCTGCACTACTCACTAGTTAATTATTAAAATAATTCATTGATAACTTAAGATATTAAAGATTAAAATGATATCAAAGTTTTACACATTGATTCTTTCAAAAAAAAAAAATTATATATTGAGAATTTAAGATAATAATAAAATCAAATTTAAGAATATTAATTTTAAAATAATTCAAATTCTTACCCATTAATAATTTAAGATATCAATAATTAAAACAATTCATTGACAATCGTGAAATGTGAAGTGTTTTAAGAAAAAAAATTAAAAAGGAAGTAAAACATAATATAGAGTAAAAAGCTTTTAAATTTCCAAGGGAAGGGAGGGGGGTATGTTGGCAATTTATCTCCCATATTTTGCGTGAAGTATTCCCATGAATTCTCAGTTCCTTCGTTCATTTTTGTTTTATTGTGTCAACTAAACAATTATCTAATAATGTCTATCTTATCAATTCTCATGAATTTCCTAGTCTCTCATTTTAGTTGTCAACCAAACAATGCATAAATACTTAAAAAAACATATATATATATATATATATATATATATATATATATATAAAAGACAAAACGCTTTCAAGAATTATGTTACATAATTTTATTTATTTATTTTTTTTTTTTAAAGAGTGAGTTATAATGTGAGCCCATAAGGTTTTATATGAGACACCTGTTGAGTGCTTTGTGATGAGAGTTTTGTCTACTCATTATGCTTTAAAATAAATATCCAATTTCGTTTGGTGTGTTTGCCAATGCGGTACTTTAATCAATAATTTTTTAAATTATTAATAATTAATGTTATACAAAGTTGATATTAAAAACTAATTCTCCTGTTCTTTTTTACTTGATCTACTTTGACTTTTACACTATTTATCACCTTTTTAGACCGTCTTTTGTGAATAACAGGTAAGGAAAAACATATTCACGTGGGATCTTTTTGGATTCGTCTCAATAAGTACTATCATAATATATAACTTTTATAATTTTACTTATAAAGAATTAAAGTTATTGATCGTTAAAATTTTGCATTGGCAAGCGTGATAAAAGAAACATACCAAGTAAAAAAAAACAGAAAAAGTATATATTAAGACGATTCAAATAAATATCGACATGATTATGAACAACTTACATATAAAGTACAGACCGAGGTCAAAGTGATGATGTAAATAGTGTAAAAATTAAAATAGGACATTTAATTTAAAAAAAAAGAGTATTATATGGAGTAGGATTTTAGATACTACTACGTATTTTTTTAAATTTCATTAGGTGGATGAGAAAAGATCAGTGTATTTATTTCTTTTGGTTGTTTATCATTATATGTGTCTTAAAATAGATTTGAAATAGATGCACGCAAACAAAAAATTCCATGTGGATGAAATCGTACTACCTCAGGTTAGCTACTGTGGCTGGATGGAC